TCTCTCTCTCTCTCTCTCTCTCTCTCTCTCTCTCTCTCTCTCTTCTCTCTCTCTCTCTCTCTCTCTCTCTCTCTCTCTCTCTCTCTCGCTATACTATCTCTCTATACTATATACACTCCTGGCGTGATCTATAATATAGATTATACAATCTGTTACGCACTCCTGATATTATCCACTCTCTGTGTCTATATTATGACACTCCTGGTGTTATCACACGTGCACGACTTACTCCGCTCTCGACCTTCTCTGCAGTCTCTGCTGGACCCGCAGCTGGCTCAGACCATGATCAGCGCTGGATGAATCGTCGGACACGGCGCTGCACTCGACCAGCGCCCTCCGTAAATCCTCGTTCTCGGACGCTAGCAACTCGTTCTGCTGCCGACTCTGCGACTCGGCGCTGTTCAATTCCTCGAGTTTCTTCTCCATCTGCAAACAACTGCCAGCGTAACAAGAACACGCATCCACGCACCCCAAGATTCCCAGCAGCGTTCACTGGTGTTCAGTGAGAGGGAAGATCTATATGACGCCTAGAGTTCTTATAGCTAGAATATCTATTATAGCTAGAGTCAAATCAATTCCTTGAGTTGTTTCTCTATCTGCAAAAAAACTGGCAGCGTAACAAGAAAACGCATCCATGCTGCACCTCCGCCTCACCCCCCCCCCCATGATTCCCAGCAGCATTAACTGGTGTTCAAGGACAGGGAAGATCTATATGATGCCTATAGTTCTTATAGATCATGATATGGAATGGAATATATAGATATGAATTCAACCTCGTGTTAGCGATTAGTATTATAGAATAAACATCTGTCTACGTAGGACACTCTCGGCATTTCCATTGAGTGACACTTATAGGCCTACAACGAAACATCATATATAAAACAGACATCTAAATATAGGTGACATGTTCGAAATTTATTTGGGTGACCCTTGGAGGCCTATATACAGGGTTGACTAGATACGGTTACACAACGTGTTACGCGTATATGACTATAAGAATCGCGAATAAGTACCATAAACAGAGTGCGTATTTGGAATAATCATTTGGATTAGAGTTCGCGTGACGTCACTTTTAGGCTGGACTGAGACGACGTGATCTGGCATAATCTATCTTACCGATACTTGTCTGCAGAGTATATTCTGAAGCTGCTGCTCTTTCTCCTCGAATTCCGCTTTCATATCTAGTTTTCGTCTGCGCTCCCGAGCCTTTTCCTGCATCGTCCACGGGCAACAAATTAATGAATACAAAACGAACGCACACAAACGTAATGCACTAGCTCGCACACTTTCGTCCACACCTCTGTCTCCATAGTGACGATTCAATATTTCGAAAACAACGTGGCTGTTTATATGAATTGTAGATATTGTTATAATAAAATTATATTGTTATAGCGCTATTATCGCAGAGGGTAGGGTTAGGTTAATTTTAGAGTTAGGATTAGGGGTGGGGGTGAGGATTGCGAGTAGCAGGAGGGGAGAACGCGAGGAGGTGGCATGATCACATAGCTATAGGCGAGAAGGCGGCAGTGTAGTTAGCACGCCTGAGCGTGTTGGTGTTGTAATTAGTCTAGGATATGCGACGAGACAGTATACGTATGTGTTGGACAGCCAATCCACACTTTGACGAGACATTAGGTTAGTATTAAACCAATGACTTACTATTAAACAGAAGGCCTCACCATCTGTCTTCTGACTATGATATATAAATATATGTATACATTTACGTATACATACACACGCGCGCTTTCATTGATATATTGTGTGAATTCGTCCGGGCACAAACGTAGTCACAGATATGTTCACACTTTATGCTGAGATCGGGATACTAGGAAAGAGGTCGCGTTATTTGTATGAGGAAATATAATAATAATGCGTAAAGAATCATGGGACATGCATAATAATTCCAAGCGAATTCGATGACGAAATCCAGTTGCGAATTTAACCAATATGCCAACTTACTACTGGATAATGCTTATTAGGGCAAACATGACCGTCAATCCAAAAATTGCAATAATAATTATCTAATTTGTATTGAACAATTATATATATAATATATAATTGTGTTGACAAGAAAATTACAATAAATTTTATTGGTAATTACATTTCAGGTAATTATTTATTAGATGCTATATAGGGAAATTGTTTCTATTAAAGAATAAAGAGCTCATCAACGATACAGATCCAGTACTGGCTCTGTAATCGCTCGAACCTGCATGCATGTAAGTATTAGCGCTGCATGTCAACTGCGCACACTTGCCGCGGCAATAAGCTTCTCGCGCTCCTCGCTTATCTGCTGTTCCATTTCCTCGTAGAGTACACGCACCTGCTGGTCGTGAGCTGTACACTTGCTACGGAGAGAAAAACACGGACAACCTTAGTGCACGATGAACAATAGGGATGAGATAAGGAACGTGAGCGAGGATACGAATCAGGATAGCGCGAGCAATGAAGCCGCCTCGCCTATACGTACGTTTTGATGGCGAACTGCAGCGAGCAATGAAGCTGCCTCGCCTATACGTACGTTTTGATGGCGGACTGCAGCGAGCTAAGCTCGAGCTCGGATCTCTTCAGCAGGCTCGCCATGCGGCCGAGGAAGTCCTCGAAGTTATCCAGCAGATGCGGCTCGTCTCGGCGCAGCTGCAGCCAAAGTTCTCGAATCTGCTCCTCCCTGCAAGCACAAGGCGGCGCTATAGTGCCTTGTCAATGCAAGTGTGAAATTTAGAGCAAAATTTATCGCATACGAATTCATTTACGCGTCAAAGCTTTCTCGGTTCTGTGCAGTCTGTACAGTCAATTACTCTATACTAATGTACAGATGACTGTATTATTTTTCTATTATAGCGAATTGGTAGATCGATACAATGTATAATGTGTAGATGTGTTGGCACGAATAAATATACATCTAAAGTGTTTTATGCTTTATATGGGTTATTGTATTTATGTTATAAATAATGTTATCTATAGTGATTAGTTTTGAATCTTGAATCTTGTAATCTGGTGTCGTAATTGCAAGATGGCGTCTGTGCGGGGGTTAACCGATTTGTTTCGCGATAACTCTTAAACTAAAGCTTCCCCTACGCGTATTAATGATATTACTCGAGTGAGGGATAGGGCGTGCCATTAATTGACTTCAGAAGGAATCAATGCTAGACACAATGGGTAACACAATAGCCGTATTCGAAAAGACAACTACACAACCACAAACTTACTCGTTTAATATGTCGTTCCCACCTAGATGCTGCATTAATTTCTGAAATCCTTCATCCTCGTCAGAGTTGCCGTCCCAGACATAACTTTCCGACCTGAATAGACCGACATTTCGACATAGTAATAAAGAGATTTTGCTTTTATAAACTGCCACCCCTATATTTAATCTCACTCTGATGCGCAGAAACAATTCTCCAAATTGTTTCCAGCGTTCAAATGCGACAGATTACTTATATATAGCGACAGTTTTACGTATCAATAATTGATTTTACATTGATCAAAGACTAATTTTGCTCGATTGCTAATCACGTTTATTATCTATATTAATAAATGAGTTCATTTGACAAAGATGAAATATTACTAAAGGGCTTCCATCATTTTATACGCGTATCATCTCGCGGTTATACTCTAGGTGCTTTGTTTTCGACGTAAAAATAGAATATTTATTTCAGCCATAACGAATCCATCGTAATAGCGTATCTACCGCATAGTTGCTGGCTCGATGACGATGTCATCCACGCCTGCCAAGCATTCCACGTCTACGGAGCGTGAGTGTATCGGCGCGGGTGTTGGGCAGGTCGCAACCATGCCCGGCTCTGCTATGTTATCGAAATCGTCGTCAAGCTCCGAGAATTTCACATCCATGAAACCAACTGCGAGCGGTAATAACCAGGCGATAAATTAAAAATTCGGAAGCTTAATTTCGTAATCACTATTTAGTTTAATATTTTCTAAGGATATTATTTTAATATTAGTAGAATGAATTAATATTATAGTCATTTTTTGTAATTTTACTTTTATATATTTTATTAAAATAAAGATAGGGTAAAGGAACGAAATAGCCGGCGTCAACGTCAGCGTAAAGGTATTTTCACATTCTTTTATGTGTCTTAAACGTTTATAAAATATTAAATAATCGAAAGATCGGTCGCTCAGTGTGGACGCATTAAGCTATACTTACTGAAGCTCAATATCAAATAACGAAATAGTAACTGAAGCGCTAGCAAATCTAAGACCATATTTGATATGCTATAACCCTACTTTATTACGCCTTTGAAAGCATGTCATATGAATCCATGTTTACCAAAGCTTACATTATTAAAATCCTCATTACCTACATTCCTCCGGCTCGATGAAGCCACAATAATAGCAGCCTTAGTGACGTAAACTATAATAACACCCTAGGAGCATATATTTGTCAGTGATCCTGATTACAAGCTATCAGTGCCTGGCGGTGCCATACTTACTAAAACCTTTTGTGAATTCTTTGAGCGTGAGGAAGCCCCGGTTGTCCGTCTCCAGCAGATCGAATACGTCGCACAGCTGGCTGGCAGTCAGTGGTAGTTCGCCCTCCAGCCGCATGATGCCAGTACGGGTGATGTAGCCGGTTTCTTGACGATCGCACAGGTCGAATAGCTCTCGGGCCTTCTGGGCGACCATGTTCTCTAGGTCTTGTCTGTAGAAGTTGTATTATATATATATTATAGTAACTCATCGCGATTTTACAAATAATTGCGCGCTTGTCGTTCTGGTGGGGACAAGACTTCATATTTTTGCGATATCATTTCATATATAATATTTCATTTTTACTTATGTGTGCGTGCGTGCTTGCGTGTGTGTGTCTGTTGTGTGTGTATGTGCGTATGTGCGCGTGCGTGCGTGCATGCGTGCGTGTGTGCGTGTGTGCGTGTGTGCGTGCATGTGTATGCCCGCGCGTGCGCGCGTACCTACGTAACAGTGTTTATGTATAGTGCGCATCCCTCTCCATAACGACACAAGGCATTGACAGCCAATTATACGAGTTCATAGCATTGTGCTTTCAGCAACAGGCCTCCAAAACAAGGTTACAAAGATTTCGTACTTAGAGCGTTCCACACTGGACATTGTCACCAATGGCCGCTTTCTCTTCGTCTCCATCTTTTCGGACGACGCCAGACCAAATAGAATTACGTCAGCATGTCAGATCTGTCGATACGGCAATTTCGTATTGAAAACAGAAGAACAGACGAACATAAAAGCCGACAAAATATAGATGACAACGTGTAAAATGTTTACAGTTTGGCACCTGTAAGTCACACCTGTTGGTTACTGTTATATATATATATATATAGTGGCGAATCTAGAATTTTGAGATAAGGGGAGGCGCAACCGCGTAGCCGGGATTTCCATTTAGGGGGTGCGGATTTAGGGGGTGCGGATTTTGTGCGGGCTGCGCTGGCGCGCACGCTTCGCGTGCCGAATAGGGGGGGGTCAACAACACATAAGGGGGTGCGCGTCTCTTGCGCCCCCCGGATCCGCCTCTGATATATATAGCAATAGATGCACGGAAACATGAAATACGTAACAGGAAGAAGCAGCGCACGAAGCTTAATTAAAGTTCTTGTTCTTTCTGTATATATATATAGAGAGAGATATTTCCTGTTACGTGTTTCGTGTTGACGTGCATCTATTGTTGCGGTGCGACTGTTGCGTAAACGAAAGCCGACACCGCGTTCAGTACTGTGCGTCAGCCTTCATAACGTATCAACAACCCATGGGCATAATACTATACTGTCAAATCTGTGTTCGCAGGCACCGCTGGGTACCTGGCTACAACGGACACTCTCGGTGTATCTCTTGAGTGGCTGTTATACAGTGAAAAGAACTGGCTGAGACCCCCGTCATGTGCGTGATTGCTGCGATAGCCATGCAGTAGACAACATTGTAACTTGTATTAAGCGCATCGTTATTATATTAAGCATTGTTATTAGTATTAAGCGCTTACGCATATTTCGAGGGTTGCCAACGAACAGACGTTCTAATAGACTTTCTATAGTTGCAATCTCTATCTATGTATTCCAGCGTTCAGCCTAACACGACATTAAGGGAGCACGTTGGCTTTGCAACTGTCACATCCATCTCACGTTCTTGTTTCGGGTTTTCATTTTTTGACGCCTACTAATTCTTCATATCGCCCGAAAGTGACATTGCCAGCAGACTGTACTAATCCTGCGAATCAGATACGGATTAAGGAAACTAGCAATCGTCGTTGACTCGGCACAGTAGCTTTACCTTAGTGTACACATCCCGATCTAGATTCATATAACCACGTGTGCTTGAATTGACAATGCTACGACCAGTACGAATGTCTCTCTGAATAGTAAGGTCGAGTGGCTAACTATATAGTTGTGCTAAAAAATTAGCTGCGTAATACCGTTAAAAAACGTATTATGGCAATTTCTGTCGTCGAAATCTTAAGAAATGTATACATGAGACAAATCATATGATGACATTTTCTAGACGTTAATTACCTAGATCATAAAAGTGAGTAACTAGCGGAGAAGAAAGCTGTAACATATATGCCACGAAATGTTATGACTGAATTTAGGATTACGCACCTATTGTTGGATCAATCGAGAAGGCATTTGCGTCAAAATAACTCGATCACTCACAATAACGTACGACATGATGAAAGAGCATCGATCTTCTCCCTTGCTGCGTACAAGGCGGCATTTCACATCTACACACTCACACTATAGTTGCTCCGTGTAATATGCGCACCACGAAGGTTATAATTGGGACGATGACGACAGCGGATGACTCACTTTGACCGTATAGTTCTGCAGCAGATGCTGCTATGCAATGAAAATCAAGCGGGTCATATCAAGAGCTAATAATACCTTTATAGAGAAATTAGCTCTTGGTCATATACATCATAATATATATATATTATATATGTGTGTGTTTGTTTGTGTGTGTGTGTGTGTGTGTGTGTGTGTGTGTGTGTGCGTGTAGTGTGTGTGTGTGTGTCGTGTGTCGTGTGCGTGTGTGTAGGTGGTGGGTAGTACGTGACGTGTACGTGTACGTACGTCGTAGTACGTACGTACGT